ATACTTCTTTTTTCTGACTGGTTATTTCTCAGCTGGATCAGTGAACTGAGCCGCCATGCTGTGTGGCCACGAGGTTGCTAGCTTGAATGGAAAGAAAGCAGAGATGTGCAACAGGGAGGGAGCAGAGGTGGGGATCTCAGGACCATGCTTTTCAATAGCCTGTGATCTTTGGTCATTTGAAGCCATTCATGAAACTGTATCCTTAGTCTGTGCATACCTGAATTCATTCATTATGCTAATAGTTAATTACCTTGTAACCTAGAAAATTGTCAAAAGTTTGGGTGATACAAAGTACTGGATTTATTAACTAATTTTCACTGGGCTTTTTTCAGGGCATGCTGCAGGACAGAGGACACAGGCACTGAATTAAAACCACTTACTTCAGGGTTGACTGATTCTAAAAAGAACATAAATAAAATGATTATTAGATCTAACATATCTGTGTGCCCTTAGGCTACATAGTTTAAAGTCTTCCATAAAATGTCCATTTAATGGGCTCCATCATAATGTCTCCATCTGACACACCTTTCGTGCATGGTTAGAAGTTAAGAAGGGAATGGAAAAGACTTGTGTAGGTGACGTATGGTTTAATATCTGTTTTTAAATGAAATCTTAACTTTATATTTCCAGACTTTTAAATAATCCTGTTTTTTTGCAGGGTGATGGTGGTAGGGAAATTTGTGCTCTCAGAGGGTTTTTTCCTCTTACGCAATTGACAGATATTTACAGCCTTCTTGCTTGCTTGGCTGGCAGCTTTTTGCATGGGAATTCCATATAACTTGATATTAGTCTGTTATATATAGTATTCTATAAGCAATTTTTTTTAAAAAAAAAGGTGAATAGACCTTGCATCATCCGTAACATTTTCATAGATCTTAGTGGGAGTTTTTATGTTCTTTTCCAATTTATTCATGTTGCTGTACCAGCTAACACTCTCTTTTTTAATGGCCAGATTCATTAGTGCCTCATATCTATCCATTGTGGAAGAAGTTATTGCCAGAAGTCCTTTGACAGCTGGTTCATTTTCACTTTGTTCTGTTTATATTTTTTATAGAATTTGCCTGGTTGTGTGTCTGACCTCCACGAAATACGATAGGCTTTTCTCCTTTTCTGTAATGGAAAGCTTTGTTTAAGCTTTTATAGTCTCTTTCACTTGGCTTCAGGACTCTGAGGTTCCGTCTGTAGACTCCAATACAACTGATGGATATATCGCCCACATTTTTAGATGGACTTGTGTGATTTGGTTAATAGTGAATGAACAGTAGACTATAACTTAAGCAAGGTAGACATACTTATCAGCCCAGTGTTGGTTTTTAATTGTCCTGCATTGTGCTTGCCTCAGAACTCCCTCCTCTGGTATAGCTGTAGCGGTACTGTATCCGGATTCATTCCGTGTTGCTGGAGGTGTCCGTAAGCTCAATGGAGACAGAGGCATATGCTTGCAGGGGATGATACAGGTGGGTTTAGGCTTTAGGTGGGTTCAGCTGCCTCCTGGAAGTGCCTGTCATCTGTCTTCCCTGGCAATTTAGAGAGTGGCTTGCTAATTGAGATGCCTCCTTGGGACATGATTAATTGAGCCCGTATGTACCCCTGTATCAGTTTTTTGTATCCTTGGAATGAATGTTGTCCTAGGAGAATAGCATGCTGTACTGGCACATCTGTTATTAAGTTGACCTGTACCGACTGTGTGTTACCTGCAGCTTACAGCTGCAAGACAGTTGGTAGAGAGTATAATAGTCAGAAAGGTCTTACCTCTCTCACTTGTTGTTCTTGTAGATGAACACACTTCTCAGGGGTGAGCTATGGAAACTGTTGTAGTAAGCATAGTGGCAATCATCTGATGTTTTCCTTTAGGATTTAACAAAAAAGCTCTTCCTGTAATGTCCCTTTTGTCTGGTTATTTTTTGTAAGATTATTTCTTATCTGGATGCGAACCTTAAAACTAAAAAAAAAAAAAAAGACCCAGTTTAACTCTTAGTTTTGCTAGAAAATTGCTATAGTACTGCTTTTTAAGAAGTCTGTCTTTATTTAGCTGTAAGAGATCCTTGCTCAAATACAAGGACTGATAAATGTAATGACATTAAAGAAAACCAGTTACCTTTCCTGGCTAAAGGCCAGAACACACACAAGTTAGGTTTGGACACCTAACTTCAAAAATCCCTTGCTCAGCATTTTCCTAGTCATGAAGTGTTTAAATTCAGATAAATAGGGCCTTCTTCGCCCTTAAGGCCACGTTAATATTGCATCCAGTTTTCCAAGCAGGCATTCTCCCAATTGCCTCTTTTTATCTGCCAACTTGACATCTAGTAGAGCCAATCTGTAACAAAAATATACTTCAGGTGCCCGTGGAAATGGAGTGGAGTATTGCCTACATTTTGAGGAAACTGAAGGTAAAAGAAATTCAGAGAAACCACTTTTGCCTTTGCCCACTCCTTCCCTTTTTCTTGTGTGTGCGTGTCCCTTCTGGCAAACCATCCATCTTCTGTGGCAGCTGTGCGGAGGATGTGACGTATACTCTGATCCCATCAGCATGAGATACTGGGACTGAAGGCTGCAACTTGGACTATTGCACGACCACTGCTGTCCTCTGTGCAGTGGTGAACCCCACAGAGCTTGGGGAGGACCAAAGAACTAAATGGGCAGAGCTGTGCTTCTCTTCACATGGGGAAGAGCTACTGGCTGAGCCAAGGCAGCTGCGGGGCCAGGCTGCATATACGAAGGGGCACAGCAGAGGGTGCTGAGCCTGAGATAGCGTGGGGCAGGCCTTAGTGATAGAGAGCAGTTGTCTGGGTGAGGAAGGCAGAGTGTTGATGGGGAAGAGATGGGACACTGTATCCCTTGGGTTTGTTACACTGCAGGTGTCTCCCAGGCTTAGCGGGGATGGATAAATTCAGTGTTTTACTAGAAGGTTAGGAAAAGAACATACCTACTAAATAAAGATGTGAACTTCATTAAAAACAGCTACATTAGGAATGATTGTCTACTTAATTGTTCACATTATACAAGATGCAACTTAGGGCTCAGCTGGACTCATTCCCAGTGTTCATAAATCTGTACATGAAGAAAGCAGAGCAAGTGAGCGCTAAAAGTTCCTTTGGGGTTTTTTTTGTTTTGCTTTTTGTTTTAAATTTTGAAACTCACATTTAGTGTGTATATTTTAACATGTTCATGTGAAACACATCAAAGTAAACACATGCAGTGTGTTTCTTTCACTGTCATTAATCACTGTAGTCTTTTAAAAGTAACAAAAAATACACTAATGTTAAACTGTGGTCAAGAATTGAAATATACACAGCTCTAGAAATTTGAAGTTTGCCTTTGCCAGGGCAAATGTAGCTTGACAACCGTGTGTGTTTATGTATCAGCATATGAAGCAAGTCTGGTTAGCAAATACGGACTTTTTCCATTAAAACCCCTCAACTTATATTGAAACTTTTAAAAGCACTTTTTCAAGCCACCTGAAGACTCTGCTAAAAATTCAGGGGAAGAAAATGGCTGTAAATTCTCCGACCCACTCTGAGAACTATTATCCTCCAACACTTTATCACAAAACACACTTGCTTTTTAAGCCCTGCTTATGTCTTTATCTGGGCAATTTCTGTTTGTGACACAACTGAATAACCAGGAGTGGATGTGAAAGATGAGGGTTGTTTGGGGTGCTTTTTGCCACTGAGGTGCCTATGAAGAGCCTGTGAGTCCACCTTTCCATTCTAGATGTGTTGGGGATAGGCTTTCAGCCAGAGTGGAGGACAGCTATTTTTGGTTGTACTTGAGGTTCCTACTTGCCTGTTTTCCATAGAAAAGAAATGTGCTATCTCCCTCTCTGCAAACCTCCTGGATGCAACTGAAAAGGGAAGGATGATGTGGCACTTCTGTTCTCTCCAACAGCCTCCCTTGTGAATAGCTGTGCAGCCCACCTCTGCTGCTCCTCTCTGCTTTCCTCAGCAGCACCGTAATGCAAACGTCAGCCTGATCCCTGTCAGTCCATTCTCTGGGGTCTGGATACTGGTTATGTATGTGATATGCTTTAGTAATTTTCCTTGCTCTGATGAATGCCTATATGAAAGGAATTGGGACAGAACTGGCAGTGTGCAAGCTAAGAAAGATGATGCTGTCATGTTGCTCTTCACTCAGATGTGGGAAGTTGTTTTCATAAATATAAGTTAGACTTTCCCTACAAAGAGAACTTGGATACAATATAATTAACTGGGGATCCTTACCGATCGTTTTTCAGACTTGAATCAGCATCCTTGTGGGAGCTGTTTCCTTTCTAATTTTTTTTTAATTTCACAGAGAAATCGTACTTTTGTGGCTCTGTTTTTTGTCTTTTTTTGCTTAAAGACACAGAAAAGAGAACAACTGTCAGAGGCTTAAGCCAGAGGTGCTGCATTCTCTCAGCTTCTTTTTTCTGTGGGGGGAATTAAATGCACTCTTTATTTTTCAAGATTATACATAACAGATAAACAAGTGTGCATATTTTTCACAGAAGCAACAACTGTTCAGACAATTCCTGCCCCATATTCCTGCATAATCTGACTTCCTGAAAGCTTTAGAGGACCACTGTTTCTTCCCACAAATATTTTACCTTTTGCACTTTTAACTTTTTAATGTCCACACTCTGCTTGGCCTAACTTACCAAAGCATTCTCATTGTCTTTGTGACTAATCAGGGCAACATATCAGTTCATTTCACTTAACTGAGATGTCAAACTTAGGAGCTCTCTTGCCTGGGGCTCTCTAGGGGGAAGTGGTTTTCAAAATCTAAATCATCTCCAGGTGCATATCTTTCCTGTGACAGATAGAGAGTGCCAGGATGTCTGGAATCATAATTTAGGTGTCTTGATCAGGTAGGATGAATTTGGGCTGAGGCATATAACTTTTATGCAGAAAATACGTGAGTTTTCAAAAAGTGTCAATCCAATTAATTCTGAATGTCTTGGAGAAGCATTGCAGAATGTGAAATAATTTACAAGTTCATAACTTTTTCCTCTCCCCCTACAGAGTCTGCTACTGACCCCCCTAAGACACCTGACAGTGAACCTTTGTTTACAAAACTGCGCAATCCAAGCACAGGCAAGTTTTGGAATTGTGACATGAGCCTGTTAATGTTCTGTTTGATTCCCTTCACCACCAAAAGATTCATATTTTGCAAGCTGAAATAATGATGATAGTGTAAGTCTTATGTGCCAAAGATACTGCTGGTGATGCCAGATAGTTAATGCTGTGCAAACATTTAGGATTTCTTTTATAATTTTAATTGGTTGAACTGTTTATTCATCAGGAATACTGGCAGCACAAAAAAGAGTTGTAATTTAAGTTCTGTTTTTAAGTGCATTAGTTTTGGGGAGCTTACAGTGTTGGGTGTTGAGCCTGGGCTTTTTTTTAATCCAAATTTAGGCTTCATAGCATTCATCTTATGCTATAAAAAAAAATAGTCAGAGTTAGAAGAAGTGATTCAGTTATACTTACCAAGGTTTTTGAGCCTTTTCATTTTTAAATCTAATTTTCTTCTTTCACTGGTCCAAGGGGTGGTGTCTCTTTCTCATTAATAGATAATGAGGCACTTTGAATTCAAAATACATTGGAAAGACCAGCAAATGCAGGTGATACAATGACACCACCATCCCACAGTTACTTTCTTCTAGTCAGATTTTTCTTTTTGTCGAGGATTATTATTATATGAGTAATGTAATAATCAGAGTATGACATACTGCAACAGAAACTTGCAGTAAGCCTTTGTTAGGGTTAACATTTTGTTTCAAAAACACGTTTCATGTTGTGTTTTTTCCTTTTCATTAGCTCGTTTGTTTTCTGTAGATTTAAGTTGTATGTTTTTGTTTTGAAATTCACTGCTCATTTATATATGTTTGTAACTAAAGTCTCCAGGTACATTTTAATGCCACAGCATAGTAACTGCTACTTGTTCTTGAAAGAGGACAATAATTAAAAACAATAGATCTGGAATGTGAAATCACTTACTCATCATGATACCTGTTTTTTCGATTGCTCAGATTTACAGTGGGAATATGTAGCCACGGATATTTTCCCCCTGCTGTATTATATTGGCTTTCTAATTTGCTATGTTTTTGAAAGCACAGATACTAATTTGCTTTTCTCTGTGGAAGAAGAGATCTGTTTACCTTGTAGAATCAGAGATCTTGGGAAAGGTTTCTGGGGAAAACCTGAAGTACAATGATTGCCTGGGTGTGTTCCTTCAGAATTTACAGGAGCTTATTTATAGACCTGCATAAACTTTCAGTTATGTAGCCTATTATAAGTATAGGGTCTGAAAATGGAAGGACTGAGAACACCCTATTAATGTGTTTTCCTTACATTTTGGTCTAAGAGATGAATTGCTGGTGCCAGATATTGTATAAATATGCGCTGAAGGACTCAGCACACTATAGAATTCATGCTAACCACTTTATTAAATAAAAGGGTACATGGTCCTTTTTATAGACAGGTAAAAAGGACAGAACTTATATCCCTTACAAAGACTATAAACTAGGGTTCAGCCTGCAATTCAGAAGTACCACAAGAAGCATTTTTCAAAGTGCTGAACTAAAAGAAGGGAAATAACCATACCACAAGTCTTAAGCAACTAATTGAAGTGGTAAAGTTGTGAGCAAAGCTGCCTAGGTTCTCTCTCCATCCCCTAGAGTTTCTGTCTGATGACACTGTTGGGAACCTGTGGTGATTGTCCTTTCAACATAAGCAAATAAATTAAGGAGCTGGAGTTAGGCAATAGGAATTATCCCTTTCCCAGGATTTCATAGCTCACCACCGCATTTGGCTAGCGCGCTCACTGGTAGGAGTCTTAGGTTGTTCAGTGAGCACTTCTGTGAGTAGTTTGACGTCTGGTGCTGATCAAACTATGGTGTATAGACCCTTGTTGAGAAGCACGTGGTAATGATTGAAACCGCTACTCCCCCTTGTATCTACTCTTCACTCCTCTCCTCCAGTTAAACATCTGGTCAGCCTTTTGGATAAAGGGGGGAAAAATGCATTATCAGTCATTTTGGGAAGAGATGTGTCTGCCATTTTAGCTGGCCTCCCTCCGCACCTAGGGTTCTCTGTAGACGGATGACGTCAGCTTGCAGGGGCTTACGTTGCGACTTCTTTGAGCCAGCCCATGATCTGTAAGCCAGTGCAGCTTTGCAATTTACCTGTTTTGAGCAGGACTGCCATGTTATAGTTGCTCTTGTCTCTTGAAGATGGATTGATAACCAAGACAGGACCAGTCCAGCCAACAGACTCAGCTGACCAAATTTCAGTGGCCCCTTCTGCAGTTTTGGCAACTTCTTGTTTTAGATACGGAAAATGCCAATCCTCTTTGCAACATACTCATCACCCTTTCATCGTAACGCAGAACTGTTGTGAAATGGCAGAGCTGTGCTGTGGGGTGGCCTAAAATAAAGCTTTCCTTTTCCTTCCAAACTATCAAGATTCTGATGGGCACCTCAAAGCAACTTCTTTTAGCTTTCTTGTTCACCTTATTTGTCTACCCGTACTTAGTCATTGGCAATCCATTTTGATGCACAAAAAAAAAAGATTTCAAATTGTCACTTGAAGGTTTGAGACTTTTGTTCCTGTAACTCAGAGTCTGATATCTTGGAGACAAACATGATGGAAGTAGAGGGGATTTTCTTGTTTCCCACCTTCCTCCTTCAGTATAGACAAAAGCTGATTTCTTGAGTGATTTTGATTTGGGTTTGGATCAAAGGCTTTGTGTTGTAAGATGAACTATTCACACATCTTATTTATTGATTCAAATTCAGTTTGGTTTATAGAGCTGGTGAATGAACATCTGTATATAATAGTTTTCTTTGTCTGAGCTTTCTTTGTAGTGAGTTTATGTAGAATGTGTGTATGTTTGTGTGTCTGTATGTATATAAGGCACATTCTTCAGTCGTATTGGGTATTCTTTTGATTTTTGTGAAAGCTTACAAATACAAACCAGATTTCTTTTCAACAGGGGAAGCAACCCTTTACTTATTCAATAGTGGTGCACAGCAGCTGTTTGAAGTAAAAGCTTTTCATGAGGAATATCGTTCCTGGTTTATAGGTCAGACTGTTCAACAAGGTGAGTAATATAACATATTCTTCCCCCAACTGTAACTAATATTCATACACAGACCTTCCCTCTCTCTTCTAGTAAATTTTCTAGTAAATTTACAGGTGTTTTTCCTAGTTGTTTGAGGCATGCTGCATCACATCCCCACCTTCTGACACGCTCATTTGCCATCTGGATTTAACCAGGGCTGGGGGCTTTGTGGTCTCTCTTTAAAAGGCTGCCTTTGGCAGCCTCAATTAGACAGATGTTCATTTGTCTTTGAGGAAGCGGGGGAGGGGTGGAAGTCATTCAATTGTATTTAAACTGAAGTGCCATAAAATACTTAGCTTGCCTTGTCAATCAGACCAGCAAGTCCTCAGTGTAAGTAAAGTATGTGTTACCCTACAGGAGGGAAGAAGGGCTGGAAGGCCTTAGCTAGCTAAGCGGAGCGGTGTGTTAAGAGCTCCAAGCGTTGGAATGTATGGTCTTGCTTTCTTTTAATAACCTCCATAGTCTGCTGTGTGAGTGCTGGGATCTCAGGATAGGCCTGCTGTCTGAAGGTCCCATTTCAGTGTTTGGTCTGAAGTGTGCTCATCTATACCATCCCAGTCATTCTCTGATCCTAGCTCGCCTTTCTGAGAATGAGGAAACTTATGCAACTGCTTGTGACAGCTTTAACAATCCTTTATCAGTAAGGAGGTCATTGGAGTAGTGTTTCTCTGCCAGCAAGTCCATAGACCAAGCAATAAGTATTAATTCAGGACATGAAGATATATTTATTTTGTCCTTTTTAACTATAAAAAAAGACTATTTATAGTAATAACTAAAAGCAACCCTACCAGACATAGGCCTTTAGTGGTAATATCCCAAAGCGTGTGTTAACTTTTAAACATCCTCTGCAGGTGCATATAGCAATGCAAGCAGTATGTCTGTGAGCTTTTCCTTGCTCTGACTGGGGGTGAGCCAAAAGACTGAGTCTGCTCCCTGCTCCCGATTATGTCCACATTGTATTCTCCCCCTCCCTTTCTAACCTCTATTTTGGCCCTTGGGAAACAGTTGCCTTAAGGAATCACCTCAGCTTTCTTTAAAAGATACAGGGGTAAAAATTGTTGCTTAATATTAGGGCTGCTGCATCTCTGAAATGGTCAGGGGAGGAACAACACAAAAAAGCTGTGTGTTTGCAGTTAAGGCAAATTATCTTATCTGCAGAGAAGAGCAGAGGTCTTGCAGAGGTCTTTATACACCTATACTGAGTCTGAACTCTTTAGAACTAATAAAAATAATTCTTTCTGGAGGTACAGTGGAAAGCATTTAAATGGAAGCTTTCAGAAAGTGGCTAGTGGTTTTTTTCCCCCCAGTTTTGTTATCAAAGCTTTCATGTTTGTAAGTAGTCCTGATGCTTGCTTTGCCTCACGCAATGCATCACGTTAGTAATACAGATGTGAGATTGGGTATCAGCTTAGTCCAAACCATGTTCTTCCCACACCATCTTTTGTTAGTTTTAGGGCCATCGCAACAGGATTTTCTTTTCTTTAATTATCTTAATCATGTGATTTAAAACAAAAAAAAGTATGTTTATTTGCTTTTGGTTTGCTAATTAATGTCAAATTGTCATCAATTATTGGGTTTCATTAGTGAATTTCCTTGATGTTACATTGTTTCCGATTATCTACAATTATACAAAAAGCCTGACTAAGCCTTTGTCCTGCAATGAGCTCCAGATGGGCAGAGGTGTCTGTTTCAATGGGAGACCAAGTTCTTCCTTTGTGTGTAACTTTGAATACAACATACTGAGCCATATTTTCTGATCTATTTATTTTGTTCTGTTAGGAGACTGCATGCAGATTCTCCCCTTACAGATGAGAGGCAGCTCTAACTTAACTGGCTCTTGAAATTCTTTCTTGCCCTACTTACCTCTTCTGCTAGCACAGTGTTGCCTTGCCCAGTGTTTGAGGTGGAGTATACTGGATTTATCTGGTATCCTAAAAGAAGTTTCTGTTAGACCCAAATCTGCCAATAGAGGGCAGCTTCAATTTTGCTGGTTTTAATACAGTCCTGTAAAAGGAAAAAAACCTAAGAGTGCTTGAAGGCAGCAGACCTGCAGTGGAGCTTGTGGTTTGGTTTGGCAGGGTTGAGAATTGAGTTCTCACTGTATTTTTAATATAAAATCACAAATATTATTTTCCTGCCCATTTATTAAAATATTGGGATACTTACTGAAAAAAAATTCTCTTCTTCTCGCCCACACTCCTGAAAAACATCCGAAGAAAAAAAAGGTCGATGTATTGTGCCTCTTGGTACTAAGCTTACTTTTACATATCTGTCACTTAGATGGGCGCCTGCTGTTTGTTACACCAATGGACCCCTTATTTCTGATACTTTACTACCTCATAAAGGCAAACAAGGAGGTAAGCCTGCTTTATTTTTTCACTGGAATTCTCAGGAGAAAACACTATTTCTGACTTAATTTTCTGCAGAAGTTATGTTAATTTTACAAATAGGTGGTTCCATAATAATGGAAATTTAATTTGCATTTAAAGCAGAGATAAATTCCCTAGAAGTATTTTTGTTGCATCAAGTTTTTTGGTCAGTAAAGTATATTCCAGGAGTCAGCTTGCAATCTCAACAAACTCTAATCACCTCCTTTTTGAGAGAAGCAGAGAATCTCTTTTGTCCGTTTGTGACAGCCTATCTCAGAACTATTGAATTTTAAATGATGAGGTGTCATCAGAGTAAAACAAACTAGTGCCCTTTCTGAGGCATCAGTAGATGAGTCATTTTGGGAAAGAAGGGAAAAAGAAAGAAGAATTTGGATGCTATGGGGGAGGAAAAAAGAACATTTCTGTGGCAGTTTGAACTTGAAAGGTAACACTGCCTTTTTAGAAGCAGTATTTGCAGAGATGCTGTATCATAGAACAGCAACGGGACAATCAAGTATCCAAAAGTTGGATAATTAATAAATGGCTTAACTGATTTATCATGTGTGTGGCAAAACCTCACTTAAATTTCTGAAGTATATCAAAAGGAATAGGCAAAGTTATTGATTTATTGTTTATAATCTGCCTGTGGAGAAAAGGCCATAAAATCAAATGTAAATGTTGATCCTTGTTTTTTTGTTTCATGGAGGCAATACTTTCACTTCATGCATCCTAAGAGTTTTTGCTCGTAAGAGCATTTCCTATAAGGTTGCTTGCTATTTTCGGCTTTAGATTGCAAGTGGAGAATGCAGGAGAACAATTTTTGTGTGGTGAATAAATAAAGTCCCACTACACAATTGTAATGGTAACCCATTGTTCTGTAATTATTTTGAAGTTATTTATGGTATAGGGTGTGCAAACATATTCTGTATTTCTGTGGGTGGCCCGTAAGAAGTCATTTCAGAAGGAATAGTTCAGCTCATTCTCTAGGTGCTGTGCTCTGTTTGAATTCAGCATCCCTTTGAAAGCTTTATACCAAGCTTAAATTAGGGAAACAGTAAATCTCCTCTGTCTATGTGGTAGAGTGTTGAGGTAGCCTGAGTAAAGGACAGCTACTGCTGCTGTTCCTGTGCATGGGGAGAGTCCTGTACTGCCATTTACTTTCTTGGTACATTGTTTTCTAGGCTTTCTGGTTTTCTAGGCCAGGCATGATGCCAGGTAAATGCATATTGCTGTTCTGGGTCCTAAATCAGGGCAAATGCATTCCTGCAGTGCTCTGCCTAAGTTAGAATATTCAGTAAAGGGAAGTCTTGAAGATTGTGTTGCAGATACCTCATGCAAGGCCAACTTAAATGTACGACCATCACTTCTGGCTTGAGCTAATGAGTATCAAGGTACCCACTGGGTATCTTAGGATCATCCTTTGCACCATCCTTTGGTTTTGATAGTGTGATGCAGGGTTGCTTAATGTGTCTTCTAAGCAGAGCCATCTCCTATCCAGCAGGCTTTCTTGGTTTAGGCTCTGTGCCCCTGCATAACGTAAATGTAGCTGTCTGGTTTTGGGACACAAGCAGGTTTGTGCAGGTAAGTTATCTATAGGAAACAGTTTACTGCAGCTTTATTTCTGCATCTCATAACCTTCTTTTTGCCATTGTTATTGTGCCTTTTCTTTTTCAGGAGGAAAAAACCTTTAAATCCTTTCTGGGTTTTTGTTGTTGTTGTTCTTGGTTTTTTGCTTGTTTTTATTGTGATTTAACAATGAATGGTTACTTTTATTAAGCCTCTGATTGTCTAGCAAGAGGATTAATTAATAATGAAAGCAGGATACCCAAGTGGTTTTTTTTCATGCTGACCAATATAATGACTTCAGCTTTGGCTTCTGAGACCATGCACTCTCTGAGGATGGAGAGCTCAGAGTCTTTGTACTGATGCGCTGAAGGATCTTTCCAAAGGGAAGGCTGCCAGTTGTGCCAAACCGTGCTGAATGATTATGCATTGTTTGGCAACGGCAAAATTTGTTTGATGGTTCTGTCATGTGTGGGGCTATTTAAGTTGTGCCAAAATCACTTTATATACATACTCTGGCCAAACTGGAATTGACTTTGCAGAGGTGAAAGGTTAATACTGTGTTCCAGCAGCTGCCCTGCTCCTTTGAGATTTATCTTTATGGAAGGAAAAGTAAAATTTGAATGGAAGTTATGACACTGAGTTTAATCCAACAAGTTTTGGTCTAAAACACTATTGGCACACACTGACTACTGTGTCTTATGTCATCTTCCAAAAAATCCCTCTGTACTTCACATTAGTTTCTCCCCATGTTGTTTTAAATTTGGTCTTTTAAGTGCAGTAATTGGAGAGTTGAGCATTTTGCAGGTATTTACTGGTTTGAAATAAATATTTATAGCTTGCTTTGTAATCAGTTTCTCAATGTGTGAGGTGTTACCATTCAAAATATGTTCTTCTTTAAATCCTTTATTTTAAGGCTATGGCCATTGCATGCATATATATTTCTATATATGTGTAGTGTGTACATGTGTCTTAACATTATAATAATGCTTTTTTTAATCCCTTTGATGTATTTTCAGCAGCAAGGAAAGTTCCAGCCACTCGATCAAGTTGTGCTAGACGCAGAGTACCCTAACTGCCCATTGCTGCTGAAGTGTGCAGATGTTAAACAGTACATACATCATGTAGCAGAAGAAAAAGGTGAAAAAAAGGGACTGGGAGGGGGGAAAAAAAGACTAGATTTATTAGTGTCACTTCATTACAAGATAGATTTAAATATTGTTTTTTGCTTTACCAAACATCCAAGGTGCTGGATGAAGCTGTACTTCTAAAAACAGAAGCTTAGGCTTAGAAGTCATCATTGCAGTATTGTGAATAGTAACGTGTGGATCTCAGATTATCTGCTGTAACTCTAAAATACTTGCAAAGTCTTGTTGCTAGGTGTCATAACAATGATAAACTCATCAGAGCTGGCTTCTTGACATTATTGTATGCGTTCCGAACTTTCTTTGCGTTTGATGAAAGTTTTACATCTCTCTAAATTCCTTATTTAGTGTAGGATGGTCTGGTGTGGAAGAAGTTAACCATTGTCCATTTGGCTTTTTTTCTCCCTTTGTTGCAAAGCATTCAAACCATAAGTAGGAAAAAGCTGGAGAAGAGAGAATATGCTGCTGAGAAAGGAAAGCACAAGTTTTCTAGTTTTACATAATTTAGTATTGTGGGTTTAAGTTCAAAGACTTAATTTTTTTAAAATAGAAAACTTGATTGGGATGTATGAGTGCGTGAGAGAGAAAACCTAAATGGAAAAAATTAGCAAAGTATCAACTCTGTACATAGTTTCTTCAACCTTCTCCCAGAATTCCCTTTGGTATGGGGGCTTGTATTTTATTTGAAGACAATATATGCTTTCTAGGGAAGAGGAAGGAGCATTACATAATTTTCGCAGCTTGGCAGACCTGCAAAAGATGCAAGACCTCAGTTTTTATATTCAGTCCTTTAAAGAGCATTCTCCTTACGCTTGCTGACTTCCTGATAGTGAATGCAGATTTACCTACACGCAATGGAGATCTACAGGAGGAGGTACAGGAGTCTGAGAATATGGAATCTACCACCAAGTGCAAAACAACTAAGCTGTCTGACCCTTATGCATGTAGGGCTCCCCCAAGGAGCTGAGATACACAGATTAAAAGCCAGAAATATTAGGAATTTGCTTTCATGAAGCACTCTGCCCTTGTCATTGATATAGGCAAGAAGAAATATTTAGGTGATCTACAGATAATTGGAAAGTGGCTAAGGAAAGGTGGTAGAAAAATGAAAACCCTGCTAAGAAGTAAAACACTAGACCTCTTTATTGCTATATAGAATATTGGGGGGGGGGACGGGGGGGGGCGTGTCTGGGATTTTTTCCTGAAAGAATTAGCTGCACAAGTTTGAGTATTTCCTATATGGTATGGTACATATGCAGTAATGTAGGGCAGTTGCTTCCTGCAGAAAATCAGTTTAAACTTTGGGGCAGGACATGTTTCCATTGAAAATGATCACTTTAACAAGAAAGCAGGAAATCTGGGCAGCAAGACTGTTGTTACATTCTTGCTGGGATTAGGGGAGTTGGAATTATGTGCTGTTGTGATACTCCTGGATTTCTGAAATCATTCAGTATCATTGGAAGCAGGCAACCTTTTTCTTTGGATGAATTCTGCCTTTTGAGAAGGCTTCTTTAAGACAGGTGCATCTGAACTGAAAAACTGCTTTTGCGTTCCCGTGAAGTGATAAATACTTCCAATAAAAACGATTATTAAGCTTTTAGGCAATTGCTGTGCCCTGCAACTTCTCTAACACTGGCTAAGGAGCTAGGGCTGAAAGAAGGGGTACTAAACTGTGCACCCATCTGAGAAGGTGAGAAATCATGTCAGATCCTCTTGGCTGTCAGACTAACAAGTCTATAGGAATGTAGGACAAGGTCTGGATTATTTTTCTGAAGGGGCACTTCCTCCAAACAATAGTGCTGCCTTTTGGCAGTATTTATGTTCCCTTTTTAACAGCAAAATAAAAATTAAAAAAAAAAAAAAGTATTTGTCATAGACAAGGTCTTGTATCTTGGTCTAACCTCTGTATCCATTCTGAAATTGTGTCTGCAGTTGTTATCCATCAGAGCATCCTCTGATAAACTATATTCTGTTAGACAGTAGTGAAGATGCTTTACTGCTTGATTTTTTGCAGTGATGTTTTTAATAATGTATTATGTACACCTGTAAGTTTGTGTCATTTTGCCAGAAAATGATAGTAACTATTAAAGAAGTTACGTTGACTTCCTGGTTTTTGTTTTGAAGTGTAAGGTAAAAATTGCTTTTGACATTAAAGCTGTACACACATGCACATGCCAGCTGTATGAGATGTTCTTGGATGTCCCTAGGCATGTACCTGCTCCTTCTTTTCTTGTTCAGGTTTGGACTGGGTAGACAGTAACAGTGGGGCTTGTTCTTAGGATTTCTTTCTTTTTTTAGAACACCAAGCATATTGTTATGCAACAAACACATTAGTGGTTGCTTGCCTGTCATGCACAGATCACCTTTCTGTTCAAGCCACTTCTATGTGTTTCATATTCTCATGTCTTTTTATTGCCTGTAAAAATCACCAATATTATGACTAAGGTACTCTTTTCCAGCTCTAAGACCTGTTGTCCACCTTGTAGCCTTCCTCGTTTAAGGAGTAAGGCTTTAGGGCAAGAAGTATCTGTTGTGTTGAGTCTTCTGTGGCTCTGATCTGTTTGGCAGAACCTAACCACATAATTATTTCACTCTTAATTTAATATTAAGGCATTTAACATATGTCTGAAACAAATTCTTACCCTAGAGCACTCACAGTTTACACTTACTGAATTAGCAGAAAGTCCACCTTCCCTGGCCTCAGTGTTCAAGGGCACTGAAAATTCATTTTGCTGGATTAAATTCCCAGTAACCTGCTTTAGTAGTTGGGGAAAGGGTGTGTTACAGCTTGCTAAATCTGGGTGAGGCAGGTTGTTTGTTAATAAATTCAAACATCAGATAGAAAGTACAATAGAGAAGGTTTAAGAAAGGGTTATGAATTCCAGTTCTAGAGTGTTACTCTTTGTTTCATTTTGCAAGGCAAAAACTGTGCTGTGATCTTGTCTGATGTGATTAACATGAAGAGCCAAGAAAACTTACCTGATTAGAATAACTAAGTAATATTGCCAAGCTTGTATTCCCAGAAGGTAGGAAAAAAGGGGCCATATGAGTTTCAGAGTTATGGAAAACACTGAGAAAATTGATGTTAAAATGTGCTTTAGGCAGTTTGCTCAACAATACATCAGGGAAACTTCCAAGTCTACATAGCGATTACCCGATCGCTGAACATATTATTTAATTGTAGAACCACTTATATTCCATCTGTATTTCTCAAACCCAATCTTTCCAGATGTCTCAGACCAGTTTTATAGGCACCAGACACATTAGGGAACAAAAGGCTTTCCAATATATACTCATATTATCAAACATAGTCGCTAACTCTCACCAATATCAAATGTGCATCACATGTTAAATCCACGTTCCAATATTGAATCCTTTTGTCAGCAGTTTGTGACTTTCATAACTCACTCTAATTCTTCAGAGGTCTCAAATATTGTCAGTTTCTAGAGTTTAATAGTCAAAACTGTCAAGCACACAAAATATTTTCAAACAAACTGATCTCTGAAGGGTTCAGTGTAATTATTTTTCACATGTTTTAATGAAAATGGCTTCACAGTTCTATGTTTCCTTTCCCTAACTGAGTCACTTTGAATCATGCTGGTGTGGGTGAGTCTGCCTGGGAATCGGGACTAGAATTACTTTTCAGCATGGGCTGAGGAATGGTGGCCGGAGGATGTCCCTTCCTCAAACATTCTTAGATAAGAGAGGAATCCACAAATCATACTCACTCTACTTGGACCCAAACCATGCTGGCTCTTTGAGAAGCAGGTTCAAGTATCCAGAGCGTCTCCCCCATTTTCTGCTTCTTTTCTTTCAGAGCCGTTTAGAAGCTTCTGAGTCCTAAAGGCTGCAGCCACCAATGTCACAGCTACTTGACCTGCAACTGATCAACTTCATGAAGCAAAGTGTATATTAGTGTTTTTTCCCTTTTTGCTCTGAAGAATTTTTTGCATTTTACTCTTCTACAACTGTTGAGATAGATTTAAACTTTATCTTGTAAACAGCTTTCTTCAACCTTTCCATACCCCCTACCACACATACACAAACAGCACAAAATAGTTAGCTATTTGTATGCAATTTGAAAGAGCCAAGATAAACCCCAAAGAAGGAAATGCTGAAGGAATCATAAATACTGTGTTGTTGTTTGCAAGGGGAGAAGGAAACTCCACAAACCGAGTATTGGAATATGATACTGGATTAGTAAATGACATGAAACAGACGTAGGTATTTATGGGAATGGTATACAGGAGATTAAAACTTACTGAAATACCTGTTAGACAAAGACTGAAACACAGTGGTCTCTAAAATCTCCTGTGAAATCTTTAACTAGGCATTTCATTCCATTTCCAAAATGTAGCTTTCTGTGAATTAATACTGAATTTTTATACTGAAATTTCTATGAGCCTTTGTATTTTCTCTCTCATTTGCCTCAGCATCGTGAACTCGCATATCTCCAGATAACTGATCACATGTGAATAACAAGTGTTCGTGATACCCTAGTTATCACAGGGGAAACACTTTCTGAAATTCTTATATCATTGAGTTAATTTATGTTGCTCAATAAATCATAAATGAATCATGTACTTCCTCCCACGAGGAGTGTGTTTCACTAGTTTGGATTCTGTATTTTCTTTTGACAATATATTAAACTACATAAAAGGGGGATAGAAGTAAAATTTTTGCTTTAGTCGTCCTGTGAAGTGAGAGGGGAGAACTGGGAGAACTGATAGGAAAAGGGTTTCTTGAAAGGGTGGATGGTTTGTCTTCACCAACTATGTGTCCTGGCCCCCTAGTAGGTGCTGGAATTCAATAAGTAAAGATTTAAGATACTATGTTTTAAAGAAAAAAAAAAAAAAAAGGCACTTGTGGAACCAACATTTTGTGTTGTGAACTACATAGTTAAAATGACCAGTCTGGTGACACAGGTCAGTGAAGGTTTGGCAAACTACAAGAGCTTGAGAAGAGTCTTAGTGAATTCAGGCAGCCCAAGATTACAAATAAATAAATAAAATATGTGCTTTGCTGGATTTGGGCCTAATTAAAGAATTGTCAAGTTGTTCAGGCTTGTGCGTATCAGCTCAGTCTGTTTATTTTTCCACATTTCCGATATTTTTGAAACTTATTGCCCTGATATCAAACATGTGCAAGCCGCAAATTAACTTTCATGCTGTATCTACAACTTCAAAGATTTTAAATATATTGAAAATGCAATACAAACCAGTCGTGACTTTCTTTCCCTTACTTTTTTTTTTCTCAGAGATTGGCAGTCAGAAATTCCACAAATACAGCCAAGAGAAGACACTGAAGTGGTTAAAGAAAAAGGTACTGTGTTTCTCTCTTGCTTTCAAAATTGCTTTGTGTTTAGAATAAAAATGCTTATTAGCTTGTCCATATGTGCATTTGAGTCATGTGGTGTGCCTCTGTTCAAGGTAGGTCTTCTGTCCAAGAAGGACAGACATCACAGTAAAATTGTTGCACTTGGGAACGTGATGAGGTATTAGAGAATTGACAAGTTTGTTACGTTTCTCTTTATGACGGGGCTGGCACGAAGAGTATTCATGGAGTGTAGGGAGTCAGAATAAGCTGAAGTTCATCTTATTGCTGTGTTTTGTAGGCTTTACATAAGGTGAGGGGCTTGTCTTTTGCTTCATCCACTTCACAGATGGGCTAGAGAAGAGCTTTGACTGTTGCAACTTTTAAATTCTGCCATGCTTTAAAGCTGCACAGAAATGCCTTGGTTTTGTGCTACAAATGGGTTTCCTTGTGAAGTTTTGGCAGAGTCTCTCAGAACTGTCCCAGTATGGTTGCTGCTATCCTGATCCAATCACGCTGTTCAAGAGGTCTGTACAGTATGCAGAAAATAAATTGGCGTTAAAGCTAAGCTTGATGTGGTCTGTGTTTTGGTATAAAGAAGGTGAATCTCGTTTTACACATGCACATGTGCCCCTATTATCATGCCACTTTGTAGAACAAGATTGTATGCATCACATGATACAAGGAAGCCTTGTCATTTAAATTAGTCCACACAAGCACAAAATCTGGTCTACTTTCTGCAGTGATGAGGCATGGCGATACCTATTTTGCAATCGATACCTGAATATTTACATTTGAACAGGTACCTGTTAGTGTTGTTGAAAATATCTTCTGCCAGTTATCTCTCTATTAGATCCAGTATAGCAGTGCCTTGTAAAGTCCTTAATCTTTGATTTCCATCAGGACTGCCTTTGCAGTCCATCTGAGCTCAGGCATTCTCTGTTCTCTGAGCAGGTGTATTTCTCACCTGTATAATCATGGCTCTTGCATCAGAGTAGCTCAGCTCATCTTAGGATGCTGCAGAACTGGTGCAATGTTGCCAAGGCAACATGGTGAAAGACATGCTAGTTTCTTTGGGTTTTTTAAGCTCATATGCTAGTCATTACAAATGTGTATTAAATTTCACCACAGTCCATAACTTGAGTGTTTTATATGCTTGAAACAAAATTACAAGACCTTTGTCACTGCATTAACATGTGCATAACAACACTGATACAGACATTTCATTCTGTGGTTTCCTATAGGTCAATCAAACAGTGAAAGCACTTAAAAGCAACAATATATCTGTAGGTGAAAGGGTACATGCAGCTACATACATCAGCGGTAAACAGATCACAGATACTAAAGAAGGTAAGAAAACTAAGCATTGTAATGAATTCCATTTTTGTGAAATCGCATATGTGGAGATAAAACACATGATTAGAATCTAAAATGTATTGAAATTGGCCTTTACAGTAAATTTATTCCTTGTACAGATAATTCCATGTATGTTGTGACTCTGCCTTGACTTTTCTGAGTTCTTTGGTATCTTCATAGGATGACATTGTAATTAACAGTAGGTCTCAGCTGGGGTTCTTTTAGCTTCTCCTTAGTTTAAGGAGAAGACATTTTGCTCAGTGAAATATATGCTGAAGTGCTTTGCTGAACTAAGACTGTCTTGGACAGTAGGATGCATGCTTATTATATGAGTATCCACCTAATAAGTGTCTCTGTATTAGAACTTTTTTATTATTATTTTTATTAGCATGCAAATGCTCTTTATAGAATTCTCCAAAAAGGGAAAGGATCTTAAGAAGTCATAGGCACAGAGTAAAAGCTCCTGGTCCAAACTTTACTTCAGGTGACAAATGTGTAGAATACACAAGTGTGTGCTTATTAAGGGCAAAAACTTTAATAATATGTATATTAAATTGCCCTGAAATTGACAGTCCTAGTACCAAAAAGTCTGGAGTGATCCTGTTTCTTTCTAGTCACCTTTTCCCTGGGGAAGGCAATGTCCTGAATGTTACTGGGATATGAAGTTGTGTAGAGAAACCTGAAAATGGACTCAGAATAAATTCTTTGAATGTTAATGAAAATGAAGAAAGCTTTAGAACAAGATGTACAAAAGCAAATTGTTTCTTATTACAAAGACATTCGGAAGTCTGCACGCTGTTGAAAAATAAGGAGAAACAAAGCAACTTGCTGACGAAGTGGAAAATGAGTTACCAAGTAATGATATCAAAGGAAACAACATAAATGAGATTTAAGAGGCAACTAGACAGTTTTATAGAACAGAGATTGTAATATATGGTTTTTAAAAAGAGGCAAAGCTGCAAAACTTGTGATTTTAACTTTACAGTAGCTTTTCATCCTTTTCCCCACCCCCATTTTTTTAGATAAAGGGAAAATTGTCCTGAGAGCAACCATCTTGACTGTGCTTAAATACTTTATCTCTGAAATTTGTAATTAAATAGCTCATCTGCAGTGTTTTTTCCACCTTCCTCCTTACTTAGAGTAACATGGATATAATAGTCTTTTTAAAAGCCTTCTTTTAGATTTAAAAGAGTAGCACTGAAATAGGGAATACTGGGGGTTAAAAGTAGGTAAGTTTTGGAGGCAGTCCTACCGTATGTAGCAAGGTGAATGACAGGAAGTCAAATGGACCTTACTCAACACTAATAAGACTAATTTTCTTGTCTGATCCTTTCACTGCCATGACAGTGCAATTTATTTCTTTATTTATGTAGAGAATTGCTTTCATAGGGGTATTATGAAATTTCAGTACCTTATAAATAGATGGGTATATGTAGTTAGCATCTACAGATGTTGTAGGGCAAAAATCTGGGAGGATTTAACGAGTGCAAATGGGGAAGGAGGGGAGTTTTAACATGTGAGACCTGAATATTTCATTCAGAAGACAAAGAAGGGAGGTAAGCAAGTATTCCTGATGTTTGACAGGAGGTTAATAATAAGAAAGCAAGGCTAGGGTGAGAACATAGACTCCCTACAAGGCAAACAGTGGTATTTTAAAATTGGTAAAGGAAGTCCGTGAAGATTGCTTCAAGGCTGAAATGCAAAGAGAATGGATTTTGTATTTAGTACAAAATATAGCAGTTGACTTGGACTCAACCATTCAGTGTCATAATGCAAAGAGTGAAATGATGGGAATATTTTTCTTAAGCGATAAATTGGACATACTAAGTGCTGAGGTGAAATTGTCTTGGATTGGAATTATTTCTTGTTCTCTTCTGACCCTAAAGTGGGCTTAGGGAGTGACAAATCCTTGATGAATCTAGGCAGTAGAGGAAGGAGAAGTGCAGATAGGAGATACTAAGAATTTGATGTCGGTATAGTTGAAATGCATATGCTGCTGTCAGTTTGTTAATGTTTTCTGCTTCCGTGCCAGTTTGCATTGGGCTTTTTAGATTGAAAAAAAGAGGAAACTGTCTCTGGCACAGGAGAAATAGTTCCTTACCACCCTGAGGCTAGTTTACCACGTGCTTCTGAACTCTCTTAAGTGTGTAGGCATATGAACAGATAGAGCTGGCCTGTTGTAGATGGAATTCAGAGGCGAGATTTTAGCTTAATGTCTGTCTGGCAAATACTTCCTGTGCATGGGTGCAGTTGCTCCCTAGCAGCCCCAACAACAGCAAGTTTAAAAGATCCAGCCCATGATCAGTAAGTGCTTGTGTAAAACGTGACCGGAAGAGATCTGGTTTAGGACTTCATGTTATTAAAAGGTCACTGGTTTTTTTTTCCCAGTCTCTCAGAAAAATATTTATAGCAGGAGTGCCCTGTACTGAAAACAACTTCTAGTAGTTCTTATTTCCACAGATAATTATCCCATTTTGCCAGTGATGTTTAGATAAGCCTTGGCATTTTCCATAAAGTACTGAAATTAAGTACAAGACTTTGAAATAGACTCATTGTCTCATCTAATTGTTTTCAGTTGAAGCCAGAAAATGTACTTTAGTACTGAAGCCCTTGCCAAATAATTGTAAGATCCAGATGCTTTAAAATTAATGATTGCATGTTCTGTTGAGTCAGCTTTTTACTTTTGCAGGTTTTTAAAATTTAATTTCTTCGGAAAAATACATGATATCTAGTATTCTCAGAAAGTGAACAGCTTTTGTAAAGTACATACAGCAGATATTAATAACATGTGCTGACAAAGTGAGTGTAGTAAGTCTTTACTTATTTAAATAAACCTACAAGTGTCATATAACATAAACTACTCAACACAGAGAACCATCACAATGTATCCATTAGAAGTCTCTTACTATTAATTCAACCTTATGATTTATGGTAGAGCATGCAACATGGCTAAGGCAACGTGACTATATAATGTGAATGTTCCTTTTCTTCTCCTTCCCACTCCCTGCCCTGTTCCTGAAGACTATGTGCGGTATGCGCATGGGTTAATATCAGAATATATTCCTGAAGATCTGAGTAAGGAGTTGTTAAAATACTTAGGGTAAGTATTGTTCCAGCTAGCTATTAGTTTTATATGGCATGCATTAATGTCCTTTCGGTCATTTCTATTGAATACTGAGATTTGTTCATCAAGGTTGCAGTGAATGACACAATACGATTATATTTGCCACACTTTAAATGTGATTTTTTTCAAATGTAGATTATGCCTTTCTGTTGTTCCTATCATGCTAAGGACCATGGGCTGGAGGAGAGATGTAATATATAAGTCTGATATGTCTGTTATCGCAGTTGCACCATGAAACCCTGAGCAATATATCCATTTTAAAGCAAGGCAGGGAAGGAAATCCAAAGAGTTAAAGCAATTTGTCCAGAATTGTCAGGCATGAGCAGCAGAGCCAGGAGTAGAATCCTTATCCCCAGTTGTCTTTCCTTTTCCCTACTCACTCGGTGCTTCTGGGATTTACCTTCACACATCTAACCTGTGTTAGTTTATATTTAAATCTGGAAGGTGAGCCAGCATCCTCATCCTGGTGTTCCCTGCCAGCAGCAGACTTTGCTTGGAGCATCACTGGGACCCTGCACCTGCCCCTCAGTTCAGTTCTGTTCAAAGGGTTCTGTTATGGTGGCCTATGGAAAAATGTGCAATTTGCAGCTTGAAGTCCCATAGCTTAACAGTTTCACTGAAGAGATGTTATGTGTTTTATAATATCATCTTACTAATCGCCAAGGTTTTCAGAAGTAAGGTGGAGTTTTCCTGTTTTCGTTGCCAGATCTAAGACCTTTTAAAAGAGTCCATGTTTCTGTATGGTGCCTGCCGCTGTTTTAATCTTAAGTCAGAAATACAGAGTCCATGAGCTGCTTTTTTTGCGAACGCATGCCATGTGTGAGCAGCTGATAACCAAAGCAGCCTTTGTGGGGAAGGAATTGTAAGCTTTAGGTTGTGCAATTCAGCTCTCTTAATTTATAACTTAAAATCTTTTGTTCTACAGGCTCCCAGAACTTAGAAGCCCAGCACCAGAGCCACCATTGAAGGTAGGAGAGCATTAAGATATTGATAGATACATTGTGTTGTAAGCTAAGTTCTCTGAATTATTATTACAACTAGACTAGGCTAAGCGCTGGGTGCAGTACAATAGGTAAGCTGGCCTTGTGAAAAGCCAGTCTGAAATAATGCAAGTAATTTACCAGGTACTTCATATTTTTCAATAAGGAATGTTTTGGTTGGTTTTCCTGTTTAAAAAAGGGGAGGGAAAGCGAGAGACGTATTTTATGTTTTTGGTCAGCAGTCTTTTCATGCATGTTTTGCTTATTTAGTTTTATTGAGGTTGATGGGACAATATGACCTCATAGGTTTTCTTTCATATGTAATTTATGAGGACCCTGAAAGGGACCTCCTGGGTCATGGATTCCCAGACAACCATGTTGGTTAATCTCTCATACACTGACCATTCTTCACTGTGAGTCTCATTAGGATTTTTTGTTTCCATTACTTCTCTTGGAAGACTGTTCTATAACCTCATTCCTCTGATGCTCAGAAACCTTCCTGTAAATTCCACCTTGAATTTATTCATGGCCAATTTATTCCCCTGTGCTTTTGTGCTAACTTTGTCATTGTTTTTTTAATTGAAATGGCTCTTTTCCCTCCCTAACATTAGTTCTCTCAATGTGTAAAGGGAAAACATATATCCTTTCTGTTTTCATTTTGTGAAGCCAAACTTGGTTGTGTAAGATGGGTTCTCCATTCCCTCATCATTACAGGAATATTCCAAGATGAATTCAAATGTTTCAAAACAGGTGACCAGAATCATATATAATTATTTATGATAAAACCTTTATTGGTGCAATATGATGGCATTCTTCCCTTCTTGTCTTAACTTGAAGTACTTTATCTCATTAAATCTTAGAATCCCATTTGCCTCTATTACTGTGTGATGTACCAGATAGCTCACAGTCATGCTGTGAACAGTTAAGACACAGTTGGGTTTTTTTCTCCACTGCAATTTTTAGTTGATCGGCATTCAGATTTATGAGACATTCATGCCGTTAGCTGCTGTGTACATGACCTTGTACTTCTGCACATTTCATCCGTTTTTAATGTTTCCAGTCTTGAATGTTCTCTGGCTTTTCCTTCACAGTGTTAAAAGCTCTTTAGGTATTCATAATGCTACTCGGTGTACATTCAGCAAATGTTAGCATGCTGTTATCTTTAATTAACCATTAATGAACATTTTGAATAGATACTGTTCATGGCACTCGACTAGTAATCTCCATCTGATCCAATGACATCCCTTTCTGCCTTATTTGCCTTTGCTTCCCTTTTACCCAGTTTCTTACCTACCTTAAAATTCTTGTGTGATCTTTGTTTTCTATAATTTCAGTTGCTTAAGTGGCACCATGTGAGGTCCTCTGGCAATCCTTCACATTTTCTGTCACCAGAAAATGTGTTATTCTTGAGAAAAAAAGATAAGTCAGTAGGCATTACCTATGTTTAGTTTTCATTTACTCTAAATCTTTAATTATTCTCCCTTCTTTCACTTTTTCTCCCCGCTCCACTCTGATGAGGCCTACTATCACTTTTTCCTCCTCCTTACATATAGATGGGTGTTTGGCTACTCTGCAGCAATATGGTCCCTACCTGATAGAACAGTTGCCAGGTTTTGCCTTTGGACTTGTGATTTTTTAGGCAGTCTCCCAACAGTGTCAGCCTATTGAGTTTTACGTCTATGTTGAATAGAGTGATTTCTATTCTCTTTTCTGCCCCTGTGTTTAACTTCTTCATCTTTATTGAAAACAATTTACTGAGGTAAAGGATTTATTCCATTTTGAGGCTATGCATAGATTAGCTTTAATGTCTATGCAATCCTTACTGTATAGCAGCTTCACTTTTTCTTTTTTGATTACTTTTTTGCCTCTGTGGCTAAAGAACCTTCTACTATTTGTTTTAATTTCCTTTCCAAGGTCTAACTCAGCTTGACTTTTTGGCAGTTCTCACTTTATCCCAGTATTACCTGACCCCTAAAACAAATCTTTTTTTTTTTTTTTTTGGCAGTCATTTTTTCCCCATTCATTGTAGAATTCTGCTTGCTCCTAGTATATATATTTGGGGGGGGTGGAAGGGGGGAGAGGTATGAATGACACATGACTGTGTGTCCATCTGTGTGAGCAAGGGGGAACATTCATATAGTTTAGTCTGAGAAGTTCTTTTCCTCAAGATTTTTCACCTTGTTTGAAGTAAAAGATCCAAAATGACTTCTTCCATCTTTTTCTTTTACATTCCAAGTGTCCTCCTCACACATCAAGTCCCTTTGCTTTGACTTTGCAAACCATATGCCTTACTTCTCTAAGTTTGCCCCTCTAGAATCAAGAACCCCACTTTTGATTATCCTTTCCATTTAATTTAAACTGAGGCACCCTATGTCTATTGAAATTAGGTTACTTACTACTCTGACCTTTGCTGCAATGTCCTTGCTACTTACCGAAACAAAGTCTAAAATAACCTCATTTCTGGCTGGTTCAGTGACTGTTCTGTTAAGCAGTATGTCAGCTAGCACATGCAGGAGTAATTGGGCCCTACTGTTATTAATAGCATTTGTTCTCCAATGTATATCCATGGATATAAGTTATTTCCATGTGGTTGGACAATTGTTCTGGCTGCACAGTTACTTGGCCCTTTGATTCAGTTAAGAATTATCTTTATGCATTGTAAGAAATATTAAACACACATCAGGAGCCAACTGATAGTCATTAGCCATATAAGCATGTTACAACAACTATATTAAACTACATGTGATGTACATTACATATTATGTATGAATAGCTTTTATACCATTGGGATAGTTCTGAGAATCTATTTTTAAAAATAGTTTTATTTCAGCAGTTTGGTTACAGAGGAAATGAGGCTTAGAACTGTTCAGTTGTTGGGCAGTGAAATCTTGCTGAGGATCTGATTAATTTCCAGAGCACTGACCAGGGTGTGTATGATGCTTCTGTGTTTAAGTCTTTGAAACTTCAGAGATTAAAACACTCCTTTATTTCACAATCTCAGAGGAGCAAGGCAGGCTTGTACACTGGAACCTATAGTCTCCTTCAGACCATTTTTATTCACTTGCATTGACATTTCTCTTCATGAGGGCGAGGTGTATTGACAGACATAGTACAGGATTATTGCAAATAAAGGTGGGTCTAACATGTATTCCCTATTATGGTAAAGTAATTGCATGTTTAGAAGTGATTTTAAAATAAATTCTGAAAGGAGGAGAGATTTAGAAACTTCAGTGGTTAACAGAAAAGCTATGACAGATTCTCTCTCATAATACAAGAGTAAACTGGGTACAGTCTGGACTCTGTGATTTAATGATTAAATAAAAATTACATGTTCTTTGTATTAATTGTAAGCCATTGATCTTGTGTTGTAATCGTCATACTGTCCAGTTTGTCAGCATAGGCAGTCTGGCCGTTGGCAGATGATGAGAGACATCTACAAAGAATATGTAGGCTCTGCTACAACTAAAGAACAAATGCTTTGCTGAAATGCAAACATTTTGTTGTAGGTTTTAAAAACTTGTTTATCAGATTCCAAAAAGAGGAGAATAGTAATTATTCATTAGATTGTCATTTCAAAATGTACTCACAACACAGTAAACAGCCTTCTAGAGAGGCTGATCCAGATGCCATTGAAATCAAAAGAAAAGGCTGCTGTTGGATCTGGTTCTAAGAGCTGAGAAATCTAAGCTGCAGACCTGGCTTCTGTGCCAAAGAAGGGGAGGAAAGAGAGAGAGATCACAAGCACCATAAACAAAATGAATAAAACAGGATTTTAAAATGTATGGTACCATCCAAGTTGCTTGCAAAATCACTCTCTTTGGCACAAAAACTAGGAAGGCCACAGTTTAGATTTCACAGGATATTAAGGACAGGGTAGTAATATCAGATATATAATAATAATAAAAATAGTGTTGTAAAATACTATATACTTTTTTTTCCCCTTTGGAAACATACCAGGAAGTTTTCACCTTTAAACTAAACACATGCTCACAGTTTATGGAAAGAAATATTCATTCTTACAGCCTGATCATGTGAAGTGCCGAGAACCGTTCACTTCCATTATTTCTGAAGTTAGAAGGCACACAGCACATGCAGAGTCAAGCTTCTTAATATACTGTTGGATTCAAGTGATGAAGCAGTCAGCAGAACTATGTCAGTGTTTCACTGTTGCCAAACTGTAGAAGCTAATTACTTCTAAAGGTTGTGCACAAACAGATAATAGACTAGATGATGGACCAGAGCCTAGGTTCCCTGGCTGTTAGACACTAACTTCCAACAGTTGCTCCATAAAGGTTCTCTGAATAGACTCTGACACCAAAGTCACAGTCATGGAAGTTAAAAATGGGATTCAGGTGATTTCTAGAAGTCATTCTTCAGAAAGCTAGGAAGAAGAAGATGCTTCCCCTGACATTGAATGATCTCTTCTGAATACTGTAGAGATGGTATATATCCATGTGTAAAGAAGACAATTACAAAGAGAAATCTTCCACTGTTACTGCAGATTCTTCGGTTGATTGCCAGTCCTGTTTTGGTGCTATCGTTACATTATAAAGCCAAAGCTTTAAACTTCCATGTGTGTACATCATAAAAGTGGTTGACACAGCAACTTCCTCACTCTAACATTTCAGAAAAGGAAATTATCAGATGTCCCTGTGGAAGCAGAAGAAGACTATACTAAGTTTAACAGCAGCAATCTGAAAACCAAAAAGGTAAGCAAGCCTTGCATTCATACATGTTTTGCTAAAGCATAGATTAATACCCAGCATTAGCACAGAGTGCCTATTTTCCTCCTCCAAAACACATCAGAAAAACAAATACAAAATGGCAGATGTCTGTAGTTTTATCTCCTTGAACTTTTCATTCAGATTTAATTTGACTTTGATAGTCTTAATGTCCCATTCGGAACTCTTCTATACTGTTACTGTGTGACTGTATTTTATCAGCGAACATTCCAGTGAACCTCACAGGCTTTGACACGTGTTAAGGTACTCAGCTAGTGTTTGCAAAGCTCTTTGAGATGTTTAGATGAGAAATCCTATGGCTTAGTGATAGCAACTGTTACATTTCAGTTATTTGAAAAAGTAACAAAGATGGCAGCATTCACTTGAATTCCAAGGGATGCTAAGACAGGCTTTATTTTTACCTAGAAATATTGCTTGTGCATTTACTTATGTCAACTTAATGAAGTTAAATCAACACAGAGCTTGCTGATTGCCAGCTCCAACGCAAGTTTGGACGCCAATTCAAATCTGAGTCCAGTGGTGCCTGCCACTGTACTATTCCTAGGAGAGCAACAGGGATGTGAAAAGAAATAGATTCTGACTGTGTGCGCCAAGGTTGTGAGGCTTGCACTGGCTTATTCCTCTGAACATTGAAAGAAAATGAATCCTTCTCCAGTCTATTGGGAACCAAAAAGGCACTCTGTGCTGGTCTTGTGACCTTCAGACTAACGCTGACTACTCTTTAGCCCTTTGCAAAGAGAAGCAGCTGGTGACAGATGCATTCCATCCTTCCCCCAAAGCCCCCAGAATGTTTTGTACTCGGGGCACATGCTAGTTTTGAAGTAGGAAGAGGATTGCCCCCTAAGTGAAGGTGATAAATAGTTTAAAGTATGTATGTTTACCCCCTTCCTCCATTATGTACCTATAGCTTTTGAACCGAGCATAAAGGTAGAAATAAACTGAGGAGAGATAATTCATTTTAACATTAAATATGATTTACTTCTGAAATAATGAAGCACATTGATGAGAGAATCTGGGAAAGGAAAGATAGCTCTTGGACTCTGTACAGTATACTACTCTTTTTTAAATACTTTGGCAGTGGTTTTGTTTGTGTAGTAACACAGACGATCATACTGTTGTTGCATATCTCCATCCTATCCATAACCTTCTAGCTGATCCCAAGTATTGTAATTGTGAAGTCCTGCAGACTGAGGAGTATCATAAAGAAAGGTCAATGCAAAGTTTTCTTAATAGGGAAAACAGCTAGAGATTTAAAACATAACATTTTAAAATGTAAGAAAGAAAAGAGGTCAGCTTTATAAAATGTGGCTCATAAAATGTGTTTTAGGTGTAAAAGTCTGGGAAGTTGTCCCAGTGGCCTCGAAGTGCTTTTCAAATTTTAGTTACCTTCTTCATTCTTAGTTCTTCCATCTCTGTTCCCTTTATTTCACTGTGCATAGAGTCTTTGATAATAAATCAGTCTGAATTATTCATCATCTGTAATGCAAGGCTGTAATTCAGCCTGCTGACAGCATAATCATGAGATTGAGTCGGAGGGTACAGTATGCATCTGTTAGATTGCGTACATTATTCCTCTTAATGTACACTCAGGGATTATCCCAAAGTAAACGTTTGAGTTAGGGTACCTCATTCTGCAGAAAGGAAAGATGTTTTACCTCCTTGTCCTTGTAATTGATTCTCTGTCTTTGTCTGAGGCTAAGTAATTTGTGACAAGTATTTTTCTGTTTGAATAATCTCAAATTTGTTTTGTAAGGTTTCTCTCCTACAATTTAAAGCCTGCATAATATTATCTTTACTGCTGTATACTAAAAAAGCAATTCAACTTCTTGCTTGACTTCTGTATTTAGGAGTTTGTAGCTTATACTCCCCTCCTATGGAGATGCTGCTTAACTTTTTCTGTTTATCATTTCACTAACAGGCAAACAGCAAGATGTCTGCAGCACAGAAGGCTCTCGCCAAAGTTGATAAGAGTGGAATGAAATCCATTTCCACTTTCTTCAGCTCCAAACCTAAAGCATCAAAATAAAGACTCGTTCTTGAAAGAGTTTTATACAGTGGTTATTTTTATGTTAAGCTAAAGATGTCTCCTGGGCTTTTTTGTTGGTATAGCATATGCAGGGCACGTCTATGTACATGGTGGAGTGTGTTGAAGAGATCTGTGAGTTAGTGTTGACAGAGCTGTTACGCCTCAGCAGGGCAAGGCAGTACCATGCAGATATTCCAGCCTGGGTCAGGAAGAGAGCCTAGCTGCATTAGCATGGTCCTGTGAGCTGAGAAGCAAGATTTAGCATGGTACCATACTGAACTGCTGCTTGTTCTAGAATAAGCTCAGTCAAGGCCACCACAGAGTTTTCTCCATTGCACTCCATTCTGGGCTGGAGACATGCCCTCTTTTGAGTTTTTAAGGAGTTTTTCATTCATAAGGAGCATTATTTTTTGAGACTTTCTGGAGATTTTTACACAGTATAACACCAGAGTAGGATGGCGTCATTAGATTTTTACGTTGACTCAAGTCTTAAGTGCTGATGTAAGCATTGCCAATCGTGGCAATTTATTGAGGCAAAGATAGTGTCTATATTGGGATTTGGGTTGTTTTGAATATGCTAGAAACAAATTGCAATAAATGTCAATGTGCATGTAATGCAATAAAGTGCTTTGTGTAACAAATCTGTGCGTGTTGTTTTTGCTGTATGCTTCAAGAGTTAGGTTAGGCTTCAGGACATTTCTTAAGGGGTTTTGGTATTTTCCTGTGTATAAATTTTAATCCTTAAAGAATTACAGCATCACTTTGGGCTTCCATGATAAATTTCTTAACACATAGCAATATAGGGGTATTTTTATGTTGAGTTCCAAGGTCAATAGGTCCTTACAAAAATAATTAGGGAAAGATTTATTTAAAGGCAAAACTGGGATTTTAAAAGAAGCCTATTTCGAGCTGGATTCAAAAGCTTAAGTGTGAGTGTCTTAGATAAGGTTTAGTTTTATGAAGCTTTGCACAAGGTAGGACTGTTACTTAAAAAGCACTACTCACTCTTGGGTGTGTTCTTTCCTCATTACAGAGTATTCCTATATATTCAGAGGGATAGCTGTCTGCTGTGTTGCAACTTCCCTGATTCACAGAATTGAAAAAGATGGCGTCACTGGGATCATTTGTATAGGTCTAGCCAGTTCTGCACAACATTCGTCATTTCATCCACCAGTAGTTGCACTGAGTCATTTCATTACTGTGGATCAACTACAATGTGTGTTTTAGAAAGACACTCTTAAGATAATGTCATTCTTTGCTACTTCAGCTCAGTAGAGAACCTGCCTGTATCCCTTGATAATTGGGAGTTTCAGAGAAACCAGGGGTTTCTTCATTTTTGCCATTTTTCCACTTCAGACTTGCTTGCTGCCATTTACAACCCTTGGATTACAGTGGTGTCTGTTAGGTTAAAGAGCTCTGTGGCATTCTCTTCCAACCAGAAAGCAATGATGAGCCTTGCTATGTTGTGTGCAGTTTTGCAATTGTTATTGGGGTTTTCAGACCAGTGGTGGTTTTTTTGAAGTTTCAGACATAGTTTGTAAATAGAGAAGTCGGTATGGTTGGAATTCCAGATAGAGGAGAATAATTTGGAAATCTATGGAATTACTATCTCTGATTACAGAGAGATTTATTTAACAAATGTGGATAGCGTCCCAATAGCGTACAGTATTCCCAGTTTTAAAAATGTTTGTCTGAAGTGGATTATCTAGACCCAAAATGAAGCTCCTTAGAAAAAAATCCTTTTCAGGCATTCTGAGGAATCACTACTAAGTCTTCCTTATCTCTGAAAATCAACCCATAGTATTAGTGCTTGAATGTAGGCTGAGAAGTGTGTGATTCAGATGCAGAGACTGCATTGATTTTTCATTTAGAATCATTCTCCCCGGTCATTTGGTGCTTTAATAAAATTCCAGGCATGAATGTCAACTTTTGGAAACAATATAGGGGGGTGGAGAGCAGTGGGGGACACAAAAAACCCAGGAATTGCTACGTGGAGCCATAGAGAAATTCCTGTTATACCATACTGCCTTGTTGCTCAGCTGTCTTTAGCAGAATTTCACCAGCCCTATCAGTAAAGTTTCCTTTTCTGACATTAACTGTCAGACAAGTTTAAAATTTAATAGTAGGTGTCATTGTCTGTGACAATTTCTATGTGTGCCACTTTTAGATTTGCCATCTTGCTTTTTTCTCACCTTACTTGCCTCAGCTGTAACTGAAGACCAGCCCTGTAGCAGCACATATTGGTTTATCCGATGGGTCTTTGCTGTGATTGGAAAGAACTAGCATTCGGTGAGCCCAGAATGAGCAATCGCAGTCATGAACTGTAAGGGTTTGATTTTGAAAAACATTCAGCCTAGCCCAGCAGCTTATCTGACAGTCAAAGAAACCCCCCAACTTCAGATCAGTAGGAGAAGGGGTGCACCAGCGATGACAACTTTCGAAAACCACCACCTGCAAGTGCAGGATAATGTTAGGGGGAAAAAAAAAAGAACAGGCACATGCTGTTAATGTTAATGGCGTTTTATGCAGTAAGCAACATCCTGGGGAGGATTTTGGTAAATGAGAGGAAAGGAGTTGTGTTTCTATTAATGGAAAGCCAATTCCAAGCACTAGAAGATGTTGAGACAGCAGACAAGCATGGGATGGATGTTTGAGTGGAAAACCAAGAATGGGAGAGAGTTACATCAGAAACAGGAACTGTGAGGTAGGACAGTTAGATGGTAGAAGCTCTTCTAGATATTTAAATCTGCTAGGTTTAGGGGTTTGGTTTTGGTAGTTCAAAAGTTTTGTGAAATAAAGTTTGGAAATGCGTCTTTTCATTGACTGAACAGTTCAAGAACCTTTCTTCTAAGAAAAAAGTCCCAGTTTCTCTGGTCAGAATTCAAGACAGAAGGAGGACAATTGTGATAGAAATGGGAGGCCTTTGTGCTGACTTCAGATCTGGGGTACCGATTTGTGTTTTTTCTTTCTCTGTACATGACTTTTACATCTGCCCCTGCACTCAAGGACCAAGCCTGGAGTTCTTCCTCTGTGCATAGATGCGTTGTGCTTTAGTGTGTCACATCTCGACTTCAGCTGTCAGCTATGCCGTAACTTACAACAATAGTAATTTTATTAGTGACTGTGCTTTTGGTTGAGCAGGAATTTGTGCATGACAAAAAAAATAAGCCATTTCCAAAAGCCATTAGAGCTTTCACATGAAAACAAAAACTCTTTTCCCTTTAGGAAAGAATGAAATGCATTTAGTAACTTTGAAACTTCCTCAACATGTAGCTGTAAGAAGTTATGAAGAGCATATGGTGCCAAATACATAAAGCAATATTTCCTACCACAACGAGGATTTAAATATAGTTACTCTGCCTGGCCAGCAGTAGCAGTAGGTCATTATGAAGTGCTGCTTTGCTATTTCTTCCTTGGTTAGTTTAGTCTGAAACAATATGCCAGCACCACTACAGAAATGTGGTCTGCCTTTCTTTCTTTTTCTGGATTAACATGACATCTCTCCGTGTTCATGTAAATATCTGATGAGTTGTGATGCTTTTATAGTTGTTGTTTTGGGAATAAGCAACTCTTACATTTCTACTTTTTTAAATTTCACATTGCAAGTGGATTGACATTAGTGGGCGTGGAAAAATTAATATGGAAATACCAGCACTGACTTAGGGACATGTAAGGGTGAACTTGCACATCATTTTCAGTCTTAAGTAATAAACTTAGTTCTATTTGTAGAAGTGACAACTGGTGATTTGAATATTTTCAGTGGAAAAGGCGGCATAGTTGGCAGAATTTGCCTTCAGATCTGAAATTTAGAAGAGTTCAGTGATGTTTGTTTTCAGGTGTTCAGTTGCATCTGACTTGATGTTTTTTAGAGGGAAACTAAATGCATGGATGCTTATTTGAATAGATTAATGTTTATGACTAGGGTTTTCTCTTTCCTTTTTAGATGCCTGCACAAAGACGTGCAAAGAAGAAATGAAAGGAGCATAAGGAGACTCGCTAATATTATTTTAACTTGCCATAATCTCAAAGCAGCTTTTAAAGGCTTTTTTTACACACTTTCTGAAAATAAATGCTTGAAGTTAGACATGCCCTGTTCCAAGAAAAAGTAAATCTCAGCAGATTAACATTGTTAAATATGCGGTGTGTTAAACATACACTGCTTCAAATTTTATAGCTTATACACTATTGGTCTATCGGGCCCTTCCAGGAAAGCACTTACGAGCATGCCTAATGTTAAGCACATGAGCAGTGATCTTAAATTCAGCAGCGTTGTTCGTGTGGGTAAGTGCTTTGCTGGATCAGCGCCTAAAGTCCTGTTAGGTGCTGAGCATCCTGATCTATATCCAGCAAAGCACTTACGTCCATGCTTATCTTGAAGTGGAAGAGCCAGTCTAGCTAACATTTGTGCATTAGCATTCACCATAAAATCTCTCTTGGCACAATGACTCACGTGCTTAAAATTAAGCACCTGCCTGAGTATTTTGAAAGGTCAGACCAACAACATCCTTGAGCAAGTCTTAAATAATTACCTGATTTTGTATGAATTTTCTTTTTTTGTACTCATTTTTTAACGGGGTATATGATTTTAGTGGCCATAATTACAAGTTTTAGAAGCTGCGAAGCAAAATATGTTGGATGCAATTTTCTTCTTTCTTTTTCAACATCTAGCCAAATTCAGCAAGATGGCCTTTTTGAACTAGAAGTGCAATGTTCAGACATAGAATCATCCAAAATGAAAAAAGTTAACTCTATTTTTTTAGGACATTTACATTTTTTGAAATCATTTCACTGAGTTTGATTTACATGGTTTTGTCCAACCCTGACCTATCATCCAGAAGACATCACCTAGTTCAGGTTGTGTGGACAGTCTGACTCTTCAAGTGCGAAAGCTTGAGGTAGGATGTGTGTTCCGAAGGGCAGATGGAGAAGCTGTATTTTTATTTTACTTCTTTTGTTCAAGAGATTGAAACCTTAAAAACATGTATAAAATAACAAGTACATTTTGTGTTGAGACCTAAACCAAAACCTTTGTAATCCCCCAGGTAAAAAAAAAAGACCTAATTATTTATTTATTTTTTTACTCATGTAAGAAGTGCTTTCTGTGGAGTGAACTTCAACCAAAATGTCAACCTTAGTCTATGTAAAACATACAGAAAATGGATGCTAATGAGATCATTAAGTGATGTTGTGTCGGATGCAGTCTGATGTTTTTAACTTAAATACCTGTTTATCAAACTACCATTAATATCTAACTCTTTGCTACGAAACTTTTTAAAAGTAATAATTGACAGGATTTTGAACATAATGAATGTGTACCTCTGTAAATTTTAACTATGACCCCAGTTCACAGACACCGACAGCAAATGCCTAAACGTTCTGTAAAGCTTGAATATATTTGAAGCATTCTAGATAAGAAGTAAAAAAAGATTTTGCTTCCACTCTGGCAAATTCTGCCTAACTTCAAGACAAAGGAGAGCTGCAAGAAGAGTTTATTAGGACATTGCTGAAAAAATAAATTCCAAGACAAAGAGGCAATAGCTTATTCAACTTTCTTTTCAACTGATTCTGAT